ACTATATTCGCTGTTCCCTTTTCTACAACACAAAGGCCCTCCTGGGAGGACTTCCCTGCACCTCTGCAGCTCTGACGTTTCTGAGCAGGCACACAGCTCCTCTCATCCCTGCTGTTAGCCTTCCCCAGCCTTTTCCTGAAAGCGTAGGCACAAGCTGCTTCCAGTGTATGAATGAACATGAGGTGAGTTTATCCAGAGCAAAATCTGCTGCTGTGGGCAGGCATCTGAACCATTCAATCTTTATTTTGCTACCCAAATTGATAGAGCTCAGGGAAAATCAACACAGTCAGTAGAAGGCAAGTATAAGAAGAAAGGCAACTTCTCTCTTATTTGGAGCACTGGGTGTTTTGTTTTATTTTGATCCTAGTCAAACCTTTGCATCATTGGGGTAGAGAGCTTTTCAAATAAAATAGAGTCTTAGAACTCAGCTCTTTTAGCCCCTTGTCACACAGGGAGAAGTTACAGGGGAGCCTGGGAGTGCGGAGTGTGAGTGAGCAGGAGTGTGAGTGTGTACACAGGTGTGACTGAGTGCCTGCGCGAGGATGCCAAGTCTGTTTGGCTAACGATTAGGTGAGACATTGGTCCAAAACCTGAAGAGAAGCTGGAGTGAACAGCAGAACAACACCGAAAGAAGCAAGTGGAATTCCGGCATCCAGGCTTCCTGCTCATCACAAGCAGGGACACAGCCTGGAACCTAGGATCTGCCCTGCCATCGTCATACAACCCAGCGTTCTCAAATACTCCTTGACCACCAAACAGACCACCCGCTCCCAAGCCTATACACCTCTGCATATGCTGCACTTAGCTTCTCCTTACCCATCTGGCCAGATCCAGTTCTGATCTGACTTCCTCCAGAAAGCCTCCCTGGAAGTCCCAAAACCAAGGTAATCTTTCATGTTACAGGGGTCCTGTGACTTTTATTTCATGGCTCTATTAGTCACCCGCCACAGTACGTGTTCACATAGCATTTTGCTATTTGAGTAACTTGAGAAATGCCATAATATACATTAACAAAGAACCACATTAAAGGCACTGAGAAGTCTTGAAGTAAATCTTTTGCTTTCCTCAGCTCAGGGTTTCCCCAGTTTATTACCCATGTATGTAGCCCCTTTTCCCTGATACAAAGATTATTAGACTCAAGAACTGGCATTCCAGGGTACAGTCTTTTGGAAAAGATGGTTCCTGTGATCTCTGAGGTCAGAAGCTATTTTTGAATCACCAGGATATGAAGAATGCCTGACCTTAACAAGTGCTTATTATGGGTTTGTTGAATGAATGAATAAATGAGTGATCAATGAAGAAGCCTCATTCTGATGTTCAGGCTCTGACTACACTGACTATATAATCCAGTGGATTGCTACAAGGGATGTAAGAGGCCTCCCTAGATTTCTTCCCTTCAGGCTCCGGGCCAGCTTCTTTTGGCCTCAGTATTGCCATCAGAGGACCAAGCAATGCTAGTGGGCAAAGCTGCCTGTCTTTGGGAGCTGTTTTAGAATAGCCAAGGAAGAAGAGAAAAGAAAGGGAAGTGGAGAGGGGAAGATGGGGTGGGGAGAGAGGCAAGTGCTTGTGGCAGGGGTGCGAGCACCCCACCACTAGGGCTCAGGGCTCCTCAGGGACGACCTCGTCACTTGATACAGATGTTAGAAAATCTTCTGGTCAAGGTATTAGAAAACCCAGGTCCTCTTTTTCTCATTCTTTAGTCCCTTCAGTCTTCTTTTATTCTTATTTCTAATGCCAAATACAATGTGCTGATAAATGTTCAAAGAGGGACCCAACACATTATTGACATAGATCGCAATGGGTGGTGAATTCGGAGATTTTGATGGATAGCACAGGGGATAAAATACTGGAACACAAAGATGGAGGCCCTGAGGAGGTAGGATTGCCTGAAGTGGCACTACGCCCCCAAGAACTGGGTCCGCAGCATGAGCTTTCCACTTCCAGCCTGTGCTCTTTCTCTGCCCCCTGTTGACACAAAGCTGGTCAGCATGTTCGGTGGTCACAAGTGCAGTGAGGAAGGGCCTGGGTGATACACTCATCAGAGGGTGGGTTACACTCAGGCAGCAGAAGCAACTGCCAACGTGACACTAGGGTGCAGGTCTGTCACCTCTCCCAAGGACTCTGCCCTCCCCAGCCAGCTGGACCTCACCATAGCCGAGTGTGAAGAATGAAAACTAAATGAGCGATCCATGGGTCATGACACTGCTTCCCAGAGCATCTGACCTTGGAACTAATTGTTCAGTGCTTTGGAAAAAGTTCTCTCTCTAACTCTCCTTACACTTAAGCTGTACCTCTGTGATAATGACACCTAAAGGATTATTGTAATTTTAAGGCAATTTTAGTCTTTTAAGCTCCTCTCTATTCCTTGTACCAGATTCTTAAGATATGACAGAAAAACAATCTCAAAATTGGCCTACTTCCATAAATTAAGAAAAAATCATCTGGTTTTTCTTGTTTTGAAACCCCAAGACATTGTCAGTTGTCATATTTATTCAAACTAAGTTTTCAGGGGGTGGTAATGTTTTATTGTTTTGAGTTAACCCAATTGTCATTTAAAATACTCATGCAGATTCATGGTTTATCTATTCTGATAGGTTATCATTTTCTCCACATAATGCTCACATACAGTGGTTCCTACAATGGCCATAAGTAGAAATAGCCTTTGTGTTCTTAGGGTCAAAACATGGATATACATACAGAAAACCCAATCTTTTTATTTCCTAAAGTGGAAACCTTACTTTTAAAAGAAGTGAAAAATGGGAGAAGACAAGTAGTGACTCTATAGCATCTTACTCTGCTGATGGACAGTGACTGCAATGGGGTGTGTGTGTGTTGGGGGGTACTTGATAATATGGGTGAATGTTGAAACCACAATGTTGCTCATGTAAAACCTTCATAAGATTGTCTATAAATGATACCTTAATAATAATAAATAAGTAAATAAAAGAAATGAAAAATGTTTTGTCTTTTTCTAATCCCAATTCCTTATGTAAGTGATCCTAGATGTATGCAGAGAAATGGCTTCTAGGGTATTTTTTGTTCTCTTGTTCTATCTTTTGGTCCTCTATCTACTGACATAATCACCATCTGGTTAATCAGACTAAATACATTGTTGTGATTGCATCTCTTCCTGCTCAAAGACCTCCAGTGGCTTCCCATTGTAAAAAAATTAAGTTAAAATCTCTTTCCTGGCATTCAAGCCTCTTAGAATTTGCCCTTAGACTGCTTTCTCAGTCATCTCTCTCCCTCAGCTACCCCTGTAATTCACCATGTATCATATCATCGCTCCTGCTCTCTCTTGTTTTTTGCCTGTCAAAATCATACCCATCCTTCAAATGCAGTTGACTTCTTGTAGCATGTCTTCTAGGATATCCAAGCAGTTAGTGATTCCACTTGTCTCTGAATACCTGGCACCTTTCTTTTTTTGCAGGGAGCAGAACCACTCTTAGAGTGCTTGACACATACTGCTTCGTCTTACATCCATTTGTAGTATAATTACTTTTTCCTTTCTCAAATATGTGTTCCTTGAAATGGGGCAGGGGTCCATAGGAGACTTGTCATTTGCCAATCATACTTGATACTGGGTCAAATGAATGAAAATGCTAGATCCAAAGTTGGATTTGTCTCAAACAGGTAAGCCCCAGGAGACTCCAACCTTTTTATATATGGTTACCTTACAAATTTTGTTCCATGTAGCCTGGACATGCTGAAAAAGAACATCTAAAATAAAGGTTACAAAGTAGGATAACTTCTTCTGACCTTCAGTTCTGATCTGAAGATGTGTTTTGTTGGTCTACGTGTTATTTTTTTCACCAACTATTGGTAAAAATATTCACCAACTATAAAAAATTGGGGTTATTTCACATAAAACTCTGCCTTTTTGAGTATTTTATAAAATCAAAACATCTGCCCTCCTGGACTGCATTCCCACATGGCGGCGATAAATCAGAGCTGAGCACTCTTTGTACAGCCTGTGCTTCCCATTTTGCCGAAGTCTTCACCCAGCCCACATGTCACTTGCCTATTAGTGCCAGGTGCCTGGTCCCTTTAGGAAACTGAATCTGAGACTCGGGATATAAAGGAGACAGAATGGAAGCAAAGAGAACAATAAGGTCAGGAGGAAGCCTGCTCAGAACCAAGATAAGCTGCAGGATGGGCACTTTCTCAGGAACAGCTGGAGACATGGTTAAGAATTATTCACATGAAGAGAAACTACAGTGAATAAGGAACAGAGAACCATAAAAAGTTGCCATGTTTGCAGGCACAGGGACACACTGTCGGCATCAGCAGTTGATAAGGACTGAGCAGATCACCTCACTATCCACACAGCAAAGGGTCACAAGATATACAAAGTCACTGTTTGCAGCAGAACTAAAATTCCTATTCTTGCTCACCAGAATGTTCTCACTAGTCCACAGGACCTGATGTGGAGCACTGGAACATCTGGTAACAGTGAGGAGAGTTACAAAGCCTACCAGGGGCCAGGTGGGAGCGGTCATAACCCCCAAGGAAGGAAGGAAGCCCTTGCCCGTGTCTCCCTTCTGAGGCGGCACCTGCCATTTCGCCATAACCTCTCCTCTCCATTTCCCCTGCAGAGAACCTGCCACTTGGCCACTAGGGGGCCCTGTTGCACACCACATTCAGGATTAACCCTGGTCACTGGCTTACCTCACTGCCACTTGGGTAGTTCTTAAGTACTTGTTGCCATCATTTGTTCTATTTTTGGTGCAAACTAACCTAGAATTATTCCAAACTTCTCCTTAGAAATAACAAATTTTGAACTTTAACTGGGTGGCCTTCTCCAAATATAAAGCCCATGCTATAAATTTTGTCTCTATTTCACAGCCTTATCTTTCCTACTCGGCCACCAGACCACCTGGTCCCTACTCACCCTCCTCCTTCCTCCCCTCTCTGTTAATAGAGCCACTGTTAGATCAATGTAGTGCATGAAGGAGACAGCAGAAAGTTATCCCGGGAGGACTCTGTCTGTCCCCGCTCACCCAGTTCACTCCTGAGGGTATGATCTTGTGGGAGGATGGAGTGGGAATTCCGGATATTTCCTCCTCCAACGAACCAGTTCACATTGGGGTTCCAGCGGTTCACAAAGCCACAGAGATGATTTTCTTCAAAGTCACACTCTGGCAGAAGAGAAACAAAACCACACTTGACGGAGATATAGTTACACCAGGGGGCACCCATACACACTGCAGAGTTTGCTCTTAGATATGCAGGTATGTTTCTTGCTTCCTTGGGCCACTGGAAGCTTTGTACCAGGACCCCTAGACACTGTGCTAATCACCTTCACATCCATGGTCTTGTCCCCACAATGATCCTGTGAGGGAAGCATTTCATCCCCATTTCACAGGTGGTGAAATGGAGACTGCAGGGTCAGTAAGCTGATGAGGCCAGCAGGTGGCGCTGTGCCAGGTGTGTTTGGCTCTAGTCTATGGGTTGTCCAAGACCCAGCTCCATGTGATAGTGACAGAGAAGCATGAGGGAGTGTGGGTTTCAACTCACTGTACCTTTGGAAAATGGCCACACTGCCAGCAATTTCTTTCCCTTGCATTAGCATCATCATTGGAAGGTCGAAATAGAGAAGTGAGACTCAGGGAATCAGCAAAGGCTCAAATCGTCTTTGACACCCCTTTCTCTTCCTCTCCACAGCCATTCGGCCTCAAAGTACTGTCAGTGCAGAAAAACCTCTCAAACCTACTGCCTTTTTGTTATTCCTGCCAACCCCCATTTTAGAGCCTCATTAGGTCCCTTCTGCAAGATCACAATCACTTCCTAGGGTTTTCCTGTCTCTTATCATTTCCAACTCATTTTCCATGAGGCAGCCAGCAGGTGCTTCCCCAATGACCGACTTGCCGACTTGCCATGCTCCCAACTACATAATTGTTAATCCAAGTTGCACAGCCAGGATCCAGACTCTTCTACAAGGGACTCCCCTAACAGCCCTGACTCTCAAACACCCTTCTCAGCTTCTTGCTTTGTCTGAAGATGCTCTGTGCTTTTGCCCTTCTGGGGTCTGCCCACAGAGAGCTCTTTCCTTCTTACCCTGCACTTAATTCTCCTTGGAACTCCAACTCAAATACATCTCCTGTATTTAGTTCTGTCAGATTTCCTCGCTTCCTCCCTGCACCTCCATGGCATGGCTTGTCCTTGCGCATCAGTATTTATCATGTAAATAGCATCAATGGTAGAACAGCAGGTGGTGAGCGGCCACAGGACACTGTCCCTGTCTTGTCTTTATGCCTTCTTAGAAGCTGGCGCATTAGAGGCATCCAACCAACCACGCCCAAGTGGAATCTAAGCAACAGCCGGGATTATAAAGACAGGGGCAATGGTGTGTGAGAGAGAAATAGAGAAAAGTGAAGAAAGGAGGTAATGTGATGCCTACTTTTCTGGCAAATGCTACAGAAAGCTGAGTTCACAGCAAACTGGAAATTATTTTTATTAGAATACATTGAGGTTAAGACAGCAACTCAAGTTACAGTTGCTGCATTTACTGTTCTTTCATTAATCCAGTCAGTCCAGGCACATTCTAATAAACCTTCCTAAGCTGGAGAGAGAGAAACAACACACAAAACAGAAGTGAGCCTAGCAATGAATCTAAACTATTCTGCATTATGCACTGTATTCTAGAAAATACTTTGCCTTTAGGATCGATTCAACTCCCCCTGGCAACAGATTTTAGAAAACGATTCACATTCTAATACAATGAAAATAAAACCTGCTTACCAATACAGTAGCCAGTTGTCATCTTGATTTCAAAGAGAGCAATGCTGGCTGTGTTTCCCTGTCCCAGCACACCTTCTATTAAAATCTGTACAAACAGGAGAAGAAGGGACTTAGACTTCAAAGCACCAGGTTTCCCTGGTCCAGTATTTCAGCTACTAGTCAGGAGTTGAACAATTTAAGGCAAAGCGAGATTGTTTGTCTCAGTTAATTGCTATTGGATACCAATCTTGTGATGGAATTTATTCAAGGAATATGTGTGTATGTGAACATATGCATTGGTGTATGCATGTGTGAGGATAAAAACACATACATGTACACCCAGGACTTTGAGGTGGGCAAGGTGTCCAGTGAATGCTCGGAGCCAGCTGTCTTCGGCTGTTACTACAACCACCACCTTCTCCAGTGCCGTGGTAGCTAAGGTTGGCTGTAGGTGAGGCCAAGAGCTTTGGTCCCTGGGGAAATCCATTCTGACAATGGTCAGGAACAGAGGGCAGAACCCTCTGCAGGGGAAACTCTTTGGAGGAGGAGGTAGCAAGCACTATGTGACTAGTGGTTGGAGACCTCTGCATGAGATGGAAGAGGCTCAGAAATCAATTTGTGGTTTCTGTATTGCTGAAAAATTCAAAGTTTACATGAAGAACAGACAGAAGCATGATAATTTATGTGGCTGATTTCAACCACTATGGTTTACCTGTGGTCCTGCTCCTGGAAGGATTTGCTTTTCCTTATGGGATTTTAGCCCAATATTTTGCAACTATGCTGGTAGACTTAGGATGTGATATGCTGTCAGGGGAAGTTGTGAAATAGGGAACTGAGACCCTCAATGCCCCTTCCCTCAAGCCATCCCACTGCCTGATGGGGAGCAACTCCTGCAGACAGGGGTGCAGGGAAATACAGCATTTCTTCTTTGAAGAATTCAAGACATGGGATAGAGAATGGAAAAGGGGAGTAGGAAGGGAGAAAGTTTTCGTGAAGGCTCCGTTCTGTCGTCCACGACATATTTTTACTAAATATCACTCCTCATGCCCACAGGAGTCCAGATCCCATCCTCCTTCCCTACTCCAATTTACACCCAACTTTATCTTACATTCTCCACCTTCCTTTTCCAACCCTTCTGATGGAACAGCTTCCATCTTTGAAAAGGAATCAGACTGTGTCCTTTAAGTATCTTTCCTCTTTCAAAGTTTTTTCACTTTTCCTTTCATTATAGTTCATGTTTTGTCCAAGATTTGTAGCAAAAAAACATAAACATGTACCACAGACAACTTAGAAGGATGAAACAAAATAATAAGAAAGAAGAATGTTTCCTAAAGCCCATTAGAAAATATATTTCCACTGAAGAGGTTGGTTTAAAAACCATTTAGAGTCTTACAGAAGTCCCACTTAAACAGAAAGGAAAGAAATGTGCGGGGAAGCTCTTTTAAGGAACAAACAACATACTAACTGACATTACTAAGAGTCTTCTATGATTCATCTCCTACAAAGCATCACATTCTAACACTGAGATAGTTTACTTCAATGGCAGAAGTTTATGTAAGATCCCAGATTAGCATTAACACCACATAAAAAGCCTGTGCACCTAAATTCCACCAACCTTGAATTTCTTAGCACTGTTTTGTAAATCCAAGCTGGCTATGAGCCAGCTGTCTGAAGGTTCCGTAGCCGACCAACGCCAGCGATCAAAGCTTTCATCTTCAAATCTCACATAGAGGTTCAGCCTGCTGGGATCTGGTGGAGACCCTGAAGGCGCAGCTATCTGGTAGACCAATCTGAGGCAGCTCCATTCCTCGGCCTGTAGGTCAGAACTTAGCAGCAGGGCCTTCTCCCCTCGCTTGGCAAAGGATGTGTCCACATAAATGTAATGGCCTAGAAAGAGAAAGGAACACAGAGAAGGATTCAGTCACCGTTTCACAACTCAGAAAAATACACAACTGTGTTCTAATAAATCAGAGGGGCAGATATAGCCTGCAGATGCATGATGTTGGCTCACTGAATGTTGCCTAAACTCTAGATTTCTGCCGTTTTCGTGAAAAAATGTGAAGGTTCAGCAACACTGAGGGCACCTTCTCATGACATATGACAGAAAACAAGCTGGAGCTGAGTAGTGCCATCCCTTCAGAGCTTAGCCCGTGCCCCATAATCCCCACTACTCCCTCCTCCCTCTTGACACTGAAGCCACGTGTCTGTTGCCTGTTATTATCTGAAACCAGGGCTATTTAGCACATTGCATCTGTCTGCCTGGTCACCATCTGCATATGAGCTGAGAGCCCAGGCAAGGGGCCTCAGAATCTCAAGGGAGCAGCACACCTCTGCCGGACTCAGAACACCGTGGTGGACTCAGCCTTTTCCTTTCACAGCTCCTTTCGTACCTAGTGATTCAAACCGCATTCGATTTGTATTATCGGCAGCTTGAGTTTATTTGGTTACCTAGGGGCTCAGGAGAAAAAGTTCGTTGTAAACTAATCTTTAAACTGCGAATGAGACTCTCCTCTCCTAGACTGTTCTACAACCACATCTCATAGTTCTGGTAACTCTTGAGAAAGCATAAGCAAAACATGTGGGACGGGGCACGGAAGGACCCGCGATCAGCATCTCCTTCTCCCCCCTTATCACTCCCTCCATCCTATGCTTTCTCTTTCTCTTCTTCTCTTCTTATTCCCTTTCCCTCATCCTTTGCCATCCCCCCTTGTCCTTTCCTTCTCCTCACTCCCCCTCCCTTCCCCTGCCCCTTCACCTCCATCCCATCTTCCTAATACTGGCAAGTGGTGCTTGCTGGCTACACGATGTACAACAGGATGTCTATGAAAAAAATAAAAATAAGGACTGGGACCAAATGCTCTCACTCGAGCTCTCCAAAGCCAACTCCGGGCACCCACTTCCTGCAGCAGTGACCTGGCCCGCCTGGGGGTGCAGGGACCCGGCTCCTTCCCGCCTGCACTCTCACGCTTGCCCACAGGTTACTGCACTGGTGGCTAGCATCCAACCTGCTGCTCCCATTCTGCAGCCTCTCACACCACCCTTTGCATTATGGGCTCCCCAACATGAAACTCTTTCTAGAAAGGCCCTGAAATGCCTCTTTGCTTAGCTGGTGTTCTTCAGCCCTTCCTCCAATCCTTGTTGCTCAAATGCCAATCCCAGCCGGGATCCTGGTCTTCATGCCAAATACTGACAGGCCAGCAGCCACTTAGCTGCTGACCATCCTCACAGGGCACAGTTGGGGTGTGGTCTTTAGGGAGGCTGGCTCGCCTACTAAGGGTTTCAAGATCAAGATCTCCAGCCTGCAATCTTATAAAACAGTAACCCTCCACTGGGTGCAAATAGCAACTGCTTCTAGATGCCACCCAGGGTCCCTCTGTGGGAAAATCTGGCCCTTGCTGTACTCGCCTTCAACCTCATTCCTCCCACACAGGGAACACTCACTACGAACCAGGCATGGTTCTAAGCGCTTTACATGCATTTACTGGCTGTGGGGCCTGGTGGGTTTTGACGTTCTAAGTCAGCTTTCCTGATGCCGACTCATTTTGAATAAAAATGCTGCCTCCCTGAGACACAAGGAAATGTAGAAGCACCATGCTCCTTTCCCTACTCTCTGCTACTGTCCCCAGTGAAGGGACTCTAAGAAGTCTGGCAGTGGGATGGGTGGGGCTGGGGGCTGGGGACGATCCCAGGAGAACCTCAGGCCTTTTCTGAGGAAGTGGAGAGTCAGCACATGGGGTATAACAGAGGAAGGAGGCAGAGGGAGCCCCCACTGGGTCCTATGGAGCTGCACACTGCATGCCAACTTGGCAGCGATATGAGGCCCAGTGCTCCCAACTTCTCTGTTCTCACCCTCCCTCCTCCCTTTCCTGTCCCCGAAGGAGGCAACTCACAGCAGCGGGTCTCAGACTGGAGCCCAGAGTCACCTGGAGGGCTTGTTCAAACACAACTGCTGGCCTACCCTAGCGTTTTGATCCAGCAGATCTGGGGTGATGCTGTATTTCTAACAGACTGTATTTCTGAGAAGTCCCAGGGGATGCTGAGGTGGTTGGTCTGGGGACCACAATTAGAGAACCAGTGACTTCCAATATCTGGCAGAGAAATAGAACTCATTCTTTAGACACCTCTTACCTATCAAAGAAAGAGCTTGCTGCTGCTCTAGCATGTAAAGGGGGGAGGAGACAGTCCAACTTGAAGGTAAAACAAACTCAGGTATATAGCAGGCTCATAGGTCCATCTGCTGGTGATTATCTTAATTTTTCAGGGCATACCATAAAAAGAAAACTCTTGACATAATCTCTTACTACAACAGATTTTATTTCAAGCATAGGCTAATGCTCTCATGTTAAGAACCTTTGAGAGCACGCACTATAAAAATTATTTAAACTACCTTGATATTATACAGTATGAAAGATGAGTGATCTTAAAATCTCAGCCCTAAGTGTTGTCTATTTCAAAATACTGGGATTTTGCATGTAAATTACAGATCTCAAATTCATTTGTAGTCATTCTGTGTGAATGTGTCTTAAGCTGAATACGTTCCATCCAAAGATTTATCTACCCAACTAATTTTGTGTCCACTCAGCAGACTAATGCATTTTCCTAGCCCCAGTGCTGCCTACCCCTATTACCACTGTTAAGCTCACGAAAGATGTTCTTAATCACTACATGTTTTCTGCCCAGTCTAGATATAGCCTCAGAATCCTTCTAAACACAGTGTTCCATGTAGCCACTACCAAGCAATCTGAGTTAGCACTTCAGTTGAAACTACTTGTTATCCTTGTTTGTGGCTTCAGTATCAGAGTATATTTTGTGAGCATGTTAGAGCTAATTTAAACTAGAAAGAACATGCTGTATTTTGAAGATGTTTTAGAAAAGAAAGAAAGAATGAGAAAATACTGCTGTCAGGCATGGTGCCTTTCCCTGGACTGTCACTAATAAAATTGCCACCCTAGGACACATTGGTAATGTTTTTGGTGAGTTGTTTCTTCTTAATTTATTAAAAAGAATCATTTTTTAATGATTCTTTTAAAACCTCATTAAACTTTTGAGTGATTTTATGAGGTTTTCTTTGTGTATGAAATACTTTATTCATTCATCCTAATGAGATTGTATCCAGAAGTTAACCTTAGATATAATTAACATATAATAAAATTCTCCCTTTTCATACAATTCAGGGCTTTTAGTATACTTACAAAGTTGTACAACAACCCTACTATCTATTTCCAGAATTCTTCCATTGCCCTAAAAGGAAATCCCTCATTTAGAAGTTATTCCTCATTTTCCCCTTCCTGCAGCCTCTGGATACCCATGAATCTTTCCATGTGCCTTTCCATGAACTTTCTGGAAAGTTCATATGATTGGAATCATATAATAATATGGCCTTTTATGATTGCCTTCTTTCATTTAACGTAATGCTTATGGTTCTTCATGCTGTATCATGCATCAGAATTTCATTTTTTGAGGCTAAATAGTATTCCATTGTATGGATATATCACTTTTTGGCTATTATTGATAATAGTACCATGAACATTTGTGAACAAGTTTTTAGGTAGATGTAAGTTTCAGTTCTCTTAAGTATAGGTCTAGGATAATTGCTAGGTCATATGGTAACTCTGCTGAATTTCTGAGGAGCTGCTAAAATGTTTTCTAAAGTGGCAGCTCCATTTACATGTCCATCAGCAATGTATGAGAATTCCAATTTTCCACATGTTCACCAACGCTTTATTATTGTTCATCTTTTTATTATAGCTATCTTTTTTATATAGCCATTTATTATAATTATGAAGTGGTATCTGTGCTTTTGATTTGTGTTTCTCTCATTACTAATGACGAAGAGCATTTTTTCACGTGCTGTTTACCATTTGTATATCTTAGGAGAAATGTCTATTCAAGTCCTTTGCTCATTTAAAAAACTGTTTTTTTGTTGTTGAGTTATAACTGGTTACCAGATCTTATCAGAGACATGATTTGCAAAAGTCTTTTTCTTTTCTTTTCACTTTTTTGATGGTATCCTTTGAAGTACAAAAGTTTTAACTTTTGATGAAGTACAATTTTCTATTTTTTCTTTGGCTGTATGTTCTTTCGGTGTCTTAGCTAAAAAACTGTTGTCTAATTTAAGGTCATGAAGGTTTATGGCTATGTTTTCTTCTAGAGTTTTATAGTTTTAGTCCTTACATGTAGGCCTTTGATCTGTTTTGAGTTAATTTTTACCCATTAAATTGTCTGGGCACACTTGTTCAAAATCAATTGAGCACAGATCTAAAGGTTTACTTCTGAACTCTCAATCTATTCCATTGATATATGTCTATCCTTATGCCAGTGTCCCAGTCTTGCCTATGATAGCTTTGTAGTAAGTTTTGAAGTTCGGAAGTGTAAGTCCTCCAATTTCATTCTTCTTTTTCAAGATTGTTTTGACTATTCTGGGTCCTTTACATTTCCATACGAATTTAAAGATCAGGACAGGAATAGGGTAAGCTAAAATTACCAAGCTCACGGTTGCTACTGATAATTTAGTCGTTTCTCTTGAATAAATGCTCCTGGATGTTGCAAGACTTTGGCTAATTTCAAGTCCTTAAAAATCTGATTTTGACAATTATTGATTGTGTTTTCATTATTTTTATGGGGAGAAGATTTTCTGAAGTCCTTACTCGACCATTCTTGCTGATATCTCTCCCTTTCCCCATCTTTTTTAATCAATCAGCATAGAAAACAATGCTTTGGAGGTAGTAATGTAAACACAAAGACATTTTTTAAAAGGCAAAGAATGGCAGAGATCGCATGTGGCCTGGGAGCTTGACTGGGACGCATCAGGCCAGGGGTCTGGGGGAGATTTAGTAGCCACAGCGCTGGAGACTTGACGACAGGAGGAGAGGAAAGGGTCTTCTTCA